CCCCCCAAAAACAAATGAAAAATACTTATCTGAGCCATGTTGCCTGCGCTAACTCAATAGTGGGACTCAATAGTCGGAGTAGGTTAAATTTGATCACATAATTTCAGAATCGGAATCTAAGGCGTTGATTCGTCGGTCTATCACACGATTTTAAACAGCTTATACTGGCTGGCAAACATAATTTCAACGGAAGAGACAGAAAATAGGTGGATACTTGTTTCTGAGGAACAGCTTGAGAGTACAGTCAGTCAATAGTAAAGCGTAGCTTCCCCGATTACAGCAAATTGAGATACTGTGAAAAGACTGAGGCAGACCCTGCCAATATCAGCTACGGAAAGCCTTCCTTCAACGAGTCTTCGACCAATATTGAAATGGGGTTCTCGTCAATAATTACCCATTTAGGAGATGTGGATAGATTATTCACCCCGTTTTACATGACAGAAGACCCTGGAACTCACGGGGTGATTCCAGCAGCTGCTTTAATTCTGAGATATTGGATGCGTTCTTCGGAACAGGACTTCAAGGCGAAGTATTCTTCATGGGGAAATGTCTGTAGTGGGTACTGAAAAGGACGCCTGGCGTCACCCATTATTAGCGGAGTCAATTCTTCAGAAGGCAGCCCTGTGTGAAGAGCACAGAGCACATATAACCTTACAAGCCCGGAAGGTTTGTTCTGCCTTTCTACCTCCTACTCTTTACTTGATTTGGCTATTTCCCTGAGCAAGATCCGTCTCACCCTTTTGCAATCGGTAAACCAGTTCTTTCGGACACAAATGCCTCCGAATACTGCCGGGGCCCTGACTGGGAACCGTTTTGTTATTGTCTTTCTCAGCATTACCTCACTGGCCATTGCCAGTCTCAGTTCTGCCACTGCACACTTTTCGACCGTTCTGCGAGACCGCGCAAAATTCGACCTCGTCACCCCCAGCAACGCTAGTTTGCATATTACATTCGAAAGGCTCATGGAAAACGTCCGCCAGGACATGGTGATTGTGGCCCTCATCTCAGCCCTGTTTTCCATTTTCGGGTTTGTCCTTGTGATTCACCCGAAGTGGCAACAAGAAAACTGCTACCTTCGAAATTACTACGGCTT